GGGAAAGAGAGAGACAGCCCTCCCAAGAGGGTCTCGATGCCATGATCCTCCTCCCACTTCAGCCAGTCCCAGATTACGGGGAAGCACATGCTCGACATACTCAGGGAGGTCCCTGAGTGTGGGCCCAGAACCTTCTCCAGTGGGAGAGTCTCTTAGTGTGTTCTATTTTACTGCTGTGCTACCATCTGGCCCCCAGCCCACAGAGGTTTTCTTTTTTTTTTTTTTTTTTTTTTTTTTATCAGTGGGATCACATTATACCATGCTATTATTTGGCTTCCACGGAGAGATCTGGCCAGGAGGTGGTAGAGCCAGAACCAGTGCCAGAGCCTCTAGCCCCAAAGCCTGTGCTCTCTCCAGCACCACAGCTGAGGCATCAAACTGACCCTCACCTCTCTCCCCGATGGCACTAACACATAAGAAGGTGTTGTTCAGCTTCCTTGTGACTCAGAGCAGCTGCATTCCCCTCTGAGGTGGGGGTGACCCCAGGTAGGTTCTGCCCACCCAGTAGTCTGTGGCTTCCTGCCTTCTTCAGTTCAAGGGTTTCTCAGACAAGGAGGCGTCTTCAAAAATGCTCTTATTTCCCAGAAGACATCACTCAACCTGACAAGCAGCTGACCAAGGACAGGGGTTGTGGGCTCGTGGTAAAGTGCAGTGACAGTCAGAGTCCAGGGCCAAAAGCCACCTCCTGCAGCTCAACATCAATGCCCCCAGGGCCTCCGGGTTTACAACGACTAAGCTTCTGTCCCCAGAGTAGGTTCCCTTCTCTAGTCCTGAGCACCACCCAGAAGTGAGCTTTAGAAAGCCAGATGGTCTCAGCTCTCACAGGCTTCCAGGAAACCTTTTCGGTTCTAAGAAACCCCCGTTTCCTGCTTCACACCCAGAGCCCGAGTTCTTGGTGGGGAAAGGCAGGGAGGCCTCACCCCTTGCTCCCCCACCTCCAGTCTTCACCCTGGGGAAGCCTCCAACTGCATGGCTACTACCCACAGATGCAACAGGAGCAGCAGAAAAGGAGTGGGGTGGCTTCGGCTTCTTCCTCCTTCTGGGTTCTCCAACCTCTCTGGGGCACCCTCCACACCCATTTCTAAGTCAGCATCTTTCTGAGCCAAAGTAACTGATAAACCAAAAGGCATTCATTGTGGTTGTGAAATTTAATAAATCAGTGTTTCCCAGTGTGGGAATCATTTAGCATTGGTGGGACACAAAATGATTTAAGGTTTCCATGCAAGCACTAACCTTAAATTATAGTTAGTTACTCCCTTTTCTATCTCCTTCCAATATTTATTTTTAAAGACGTATTAATTTTATTCATGATAGAAAGTACACATGAACATGAGGTGGGGGCTCCCTCAACAGAGCTTCAACACATGGCACTGGTTAGCGGCACTGGACTTACACATGGTCGTCTGCGGTTTGAGTCCCAGATCTAGCAGCTTGCTTTCTCACTTTCTCTTTCTTACTCTCGCTCTATCCCTCTCTGGTCAAATTAAAATAACTAAACAAATAAAGTTAAATAAATAATTTCTAAAAAAACAAGATTATGGACACATGTATGCTCAGGGCACTCAGGAATGTCTCTGGACTTGAACTGGGCATCCTCCCATATAGGAGTACCATCACGTTTTATCACTGAGCCACCATCTGGCCTTTATCCAGAAAATTGCAAAGGACAGCAGGTGGAGAAGTGATTAAGGGGCTGGATTCCCACATGGGCAACCAACCAGTTTGAATCTTAGACCCGGAGGCTTGAAACTTACCCGGGCACCTGTGTGTGCATGTCCAAAACCCCGAGAGGAAAATGGAGGAGAAGGGACTGCAGTGTGGCCACCCCTCCTGGCCAGTGAGGTCTCAGTTTCTCTCTCTTCATCTCTCTCTGTCTCTCTAGCAAGCGCATGTGCCCTGTGGCAAAAATCTCTTCAAAAAGAAAAGAAAAGGAAATTGTAAAACTTAAACAAATGAGAATGTAAGCACAGATAGGTATGAGGCTCAATACTGTAAAGGTTTCATTTCTCCCAGATTATTCTAGAAATTCAGTGCAATCTCAGTCACATTCTGACAGGGTGTGTGTGTGTGAGTTTTTTCTAGCTCATTCTAAAATTTATTTAGGAGCACGAAGAGGGCTACTATTTTATGTAGGGTGTTCAGAAAAAGCTCTTTTGAGCGATGATGTGTGAGGAGTGAAGGATTCCAGGCAGGATGAGCCAAGGCTCTGAGGTAGCAGCTTGCTTGGAATGTTCCAAAAATGTGAGGTCAGTGTGGCTGGAGCAGACTGAATGAGAAGCAGAAATGAGGTCAGAGACGTAGCCAGAGGCCTGATCATGCAGGGCTCCGTAGGCTATGGTAAGAGCTCTGAAATTCATTCTGAGAGAAGCTGTGGGCATTTCCTGAATATGGAGCAATCCAATCTAATTTGAAAATGTAATATTTCTGAAAGGTGGCCCAGCTGTGATGGAGCACAGATTGCACCACTGTGTGAGAGGCTGGAAGCTACATGGGAAGCATAGTTTCGATTCCTGGACCAACCTGAACACACAGTTGGGTTTGCCTGCAATCCTAGTTAATTGGGGGGCAGAGAGAGAAGGACTGCGACACAGCAAGATTCTGTCAAAAAAAAAAAAAAAAAAAAACCAAAACACAAACAACAACAAAAAATTCGCCTGCTCTTACTCTCAATAAAAGAAGAAAATAAAATTATTTTTTTTTTTTTTTTTGGTTACAGAGCACTGGCACTCACCACAGGGAAGGAGAGATAAAGAAGGAGAGAGAGGGGGAAAGTGAGTAAACACCCCCAGGAGAGATGGCCACACCATAATCCCTTGTCCTCCGTTCTCCTCTTGGGATGTTGGGCACACGAGCACACATACCTGGTGTTTCCCAACACGCTAAGTCTGGGGACTGAACCATGCAATTGGCCATGTGGGATCCTGGGTTTAACCAACATGCCACCAGCTGGCCAGGGAGAAAATATTTTTGAAAGGACTGAAAATATTAATTGTAGGTGGTATGGAAATGTAAAAAATTAAGGGGCACAGGAATGACTAAGCTTTTGAAATTTCTACATCAAATATTAGTTCCTCAAGTCACAGATTTAGACTTTTGGATTCAGCTCAGCCCAAACAGAATGGGAATGAATCCTGGAGCCAATACTGACAAACACGCAGGCCAGGCAGGTCCAACTCACCTCCTTCTACTCTGGCTCCCAGCTGAGGTCCCCAAGGTCCCCGACTAGCTAGGCCTCCAATCAAAGCCTTCAAGGGCACAGGTCCAAAGAGCAGCTATGCTGACCAGCTCCTGAAAAACATCACTGACCTCAGAACTCATGAGATTCAAAGAAGCTTAAGCTGGAGCCAGATCGTTGCGTGGTGGTTAAGCCAGCTGGATCCCACGTAGCCAACTGCCTGGTTCGAGTCCCAGTCCCTGCAGTGTGAGAAACACTCTGCGTATATGTCCTTGCATAAATACCAAAAATCCCAAAAGGTGGGAGAAATGGAGATGAGGGGATTGTGACATGACTTCTCCCATGGGGGAGGTGCTTTCTTATTTTCTCTCTCTCTGTCTTCCTCCTGTGAGTACATGTACCCTCTGGCAAATTAAAAAAGAAGCCTAGAGTTGAAAGGGACTCTAGAGAGTAATAAAATAATAAATGATCAAAAGCTAGCATGGCCCTCAGGGAAACTATTATCTTTTCTCAGAAAGCCTTCCTTCAGTAAATGGAAGGTCATTATTCACTCAGTCAATCAACAAAGAGGCACCGCTTGTCAGGACGGAGTTCAACTCTAAGAAGCAGACTCGACCTGGCTCTGTCACTGTGGAGCTAAGAGTCTGATGTGGGAGAAGACAACGAAGAAGTGTTTACAAAATGCTCACGGAACCAGATAGGCTGATGTGATGGAGCAGGGGATGGCACATTTAAGTGGTGGACAGGTCAAATCTGGCTCACTGCCTCTTTTTCTCTCTTTATTTATGATAGAATGTGTGCATGTGCACATGAGAGGGAGAGGGAGTGAGAGGGAAAGGAGCACCCTCAATGGGGCCTGGACGCACACACCACGGTCCCCTTCCTCCAGTCCTCTAGCTAGACAGATCTTGAGCACTCATGAGTGTGCCTGTCATGTTTCAGGCCAACTGGGCTGGAGATTCAAATTACAGTTGCCACATGGTATTCAGCTTCTCTCAAGCAGTGCATTACTGAGCCACACACACCCCCACACCCACAAACACATGCTTTTTTTGGTTTTTGGGTTTTTTTTTTAAAGTTTTGCTATAGGGAGCATGCTCTTGCCAGAGAGAGACAGAGAGAAACTGAGGGCAATTGAGAAATCATACCCAGAGGGGGATGGCCATGCCACAGTCCCTTTTCCTCCATTCTCCTCTGGGGATTTTGGGTATGTATGCACACATGCCTCTTGTGTTTTTCAAGCTGCAGAGTCCAGGACTCAAACTTTAAAGCTGGTCATGTGGGATCTAGCAGCCTTAACCTCAATGCCACAGGCTGGCTGGCTGACTTCTTTTTTTTAAGAGGTTTTTACTTTAGGGTACATACATTTGCAAGAGAGACAGAGAGAGAGAGAGAAACAGACACACACATGAGAAGGAAAGTGAGAGATCACCCCGTGGGAGAATGGCCACGCTGCAATCCCTTTTCCTCCATTCTCCCTCCAGGATCTTGGGCACACATGCACATGCGCCCAGCATGAGTTTCAAGCCACCAGATCTGGGACTTGAACCGTGGTTGGCCATGTGAGAGTCTAGCGACATAACTGCTATGTCATCTGCTGGTCTCGGCGTTTTTTTATTTAATAAATGAAATTTTATTGGATTTAATAAATAAAATTGTACAGCCTTGCTCATTGTTTATCTGTTGTTTATGCTTGTTTTCATGCTGCAATGGCAAGTTTGAGTAGTTGTAACAAAAGCCTATGGCCTTAAAGTCTAAAAGCGGCCAAGCCTGCTGGCACAGCTGATAGCAAACTGGACTGCAGTGCTGGAAGCTACATGGCTGACAGCAGGTTCAGATCCCTGGTCAGTCTGAAAACATGCTGGGCATGTGTGTGGTTGAGACCCCGCATAGAGTATTTCACTCTATCTCTGCATCTCTGGTACATGTGCACAGGCTCTCTATCAAGAATAAAATTAATGAACTTGTTTTTTTTTCCCACAAGGCTTGTGCACTCACCTGAGAAAGACAGAGACCCAGAGAGAGGGAAAATGAGAAATCAACCCCCTGGTGGGGGACAGCCATGCTGCAGTTTCTTCTCCTCCATTCTCCTCTTGGAATTTTGGGCACTCATGCTCACAGGCCGCTGGGTGCAGGATTCAAACCGCAATCAGACTTGTGGGAATCCAGAGCTTTACCCCCATGCCACTTGCTGGCCCCTAAATAACAAGATTTTTAAAAGCCTCAGTATTGACTGGCCACATAGAGGAAAGTTTGCGTCCCACTGTCAGAGTGGCCGTGAGAAGCCTCTCCCAGCACTGTCCAGCAGCACTTTGCGGTGATGGCTACATCGGAGTCTGCAGTCCAGTCTGGCAGCCGCAACCACACGTAGTGATGGGACACTTGAAATGTGCCTAGACTTGGAGGAACTGGGATTTTACTTCATTTAATTTTAATTATTTTAAATACAACTTCAAATAGCTGCATATGGCTAGTGACTGCTTTAATAGACTGTGAAGTTCTATATAATCACTCAGGACAGAGTTCTCCTTTCTTCTTCATCCTTCTCCTAAATATTTTTTCAAGTGCCAATAAGCCACTGTAAGTCAAAGTCAAGGGCCAGACCAAAACCCAAGTGGTTAAGGGAGCTGGGTTCCACATGTTTAATGATGATGCGAATCCCTGCCCTTGGCAGCTTGAAAAACACCAGGCACATATGCACGTGTACCTCAAATCTCAACAGGGTGGAGAAATGGAGGAGAAAAGATTATGGCATGACCATACCTCACTGGGGGATGCTTTTCCCCCTCCATCTCTCTCTGTCTCTCTCTAGAAAGTACATGCACCCTTAGCAAATTGTTTTTTCTTTTTAAGAATTATTTATCTAACTTTATGTATCATCATCATCATTATTTTTTTAAATTTGTTACAGGGCATGC